GGGAAAAATGTATATATTTGGTTGGTGACATAAACGAAGCAATACCTGTTCATTGGGATTGTTAAATAATAAAACCGATCCTGTTTATGACACCTGATGGTTTTCGAAGCGTTATAGAGTGCCACGTTTCCTGAAACTTTCGGCCTCAACATTTGAACTTTTCCTTTTTTATTTTATTTTCACACAAATTTTAAAAAACAATAATAATAATGCGGCGGAATAATACCCTCAAAATGTAGCACCGCCTTTAATTTGCTTTACCTTTGGCGAGTATTTAGCATCTGCCCCCTATTTCAATACAGTTTCTTCTTAAATGTTCCGGAAGACACTAGCTTGAGGATTTTGAGCATTTCTGGACAGAACCGTTTGTTCTTGAGATATAGAGGAGGGGATTTTTTGTATTAAAAGGTACAGTATTTACGTGTTTTTCAATGAATAAAAATAATATTGGATGTTCTATATTGTGTGCGTGCGTGCGTGTGTTTTTTTTATGACCTAAAATTTATGTTCTGACTTATATTTTGTACACTTCATTTAGGTTATGCGATTCAGAGTGTTTTTTGAGCTTTGATAAGTAGTGCTAGTTAATTGATGTGTTTCAATTGATGTTTTTGCAAAAACCAGTTTTAAATTATTTGAATTGAATTCAATGCAATTGAGGAAATTGGTTTGCGTCCTGGATTAGAGCAGCCTCTAATTAATAATTATGGAGTATATGGTAAAATGTGTTTTTAGTGTAATGAAAATTAAACATCAATTGGAAAAAAATCATCCTCACCTCTCAATGTTCTCTCTTGGACGCGCCGGTGCGGAGAACGGTCTTTCTCATCTCTCTGTCTTATCGGTTTTGCATGATTGCATCTATGGCTTCCAAATGCCTTGGCTTCTTCCAAACGTGATTCATCAGTTCTAGCAATCATCCATATTCTTCTTATAGTATACAAATTAAGGGAGAATTGGTTAAGATGTTTTGGTTATTTGAAGAAGATCAATAGGTTTCCAAATAGCTTCTTATGATTTTCGGATCTTCTTGTTGCAAAATCTCATGGAAGGAGGCAATAATTGATGTGACCAGCTTACTCGAGCAAACTTCGGCAAGGGGAAGTTGAAGCTTTTCTATGAAAATTGGAATCTGATAAAGACTTTTTATCTAGGTCTTGCCTTCTTTTTTTGCACTTTCTAGTTTTATTGTTTGCTATTTGAATGCCCAAATGTTAAGAGAGTTGCTGTGAATTCTTTTCAGCAAAACAGAATGATAGGTATATCTAATCAAAGCTGATTTTACTACTGAAAGTGAATTACAATCTTGCTATTTCTGTTGTTTATCCATTTATTCAGCAAAACGGGTTATATCCAATCTAGCTTGCTTTCATTTCAATTTTAGAGGTTTTACAATAACATAATGTAGCTTAGACACTGTCTAAAGTTATTATTTCCCAACTGAAGTTTGGTTTTAGAGAAACTTCCTTTCTTTTTTGGCCATCAGAATAAGAAGGGCCTTTGAACAAAATCAACACAAAGATGTCTTTTTTTTTTCTCTCTTTTTTTTTTTCTTTATGGGCTCGTTCAAGCCCTTCCTTTATTCAAATATTTCGACCATTTCCGAGCACCTCATAGTATTTTCGGAGCATCCGAAGATTCGATCATTTCTCTTACCCTGGCCATCCAATGGGTTTCGAAGATAAAAATCCTTTATTGGATTGGCCGATAAACTGACCTATGTTATGTTTTCGCTGGTGTATTGCACCAACCCACTCGAAATGTTGAATTATATATAGCCTTAAGAAAACCTTAAATAAAATCGGAATTTCAAAAATCCTCACTTTGCCTTCACTGACTTCTTCCTTGCAGACTGGTAGACCATTTTTCCTACCTTCAAAGTTTTCATTTCCCTTTCTCATGCTCCCCCAAATCACATCCTAGTTCAGAGCCAACCACTGTTTATTATATAAACAAAATACTGGAGATTCTTCTTTGTCCTTTGAACTAGACATTATATTTGTATTTCTATCCAAATCCATCCAAGACCGTGTTCTCCTACATTATTTTGATTCAATCAGGTAAATATTCAGAGTTTTGTCTATTTATCTATTTTTTTGGACAAATTTCCATTTTCTTGTGGAAAAAATATACTTCTTTTGGTGATTTTTATAGTTCACATGGTTGACAATGTTTCCTTTGAGTTTCAGGCTTGAAAGTTTGAATTTGACTGTCATTTCCTGTCAGTTTCAAGCTTCCTCTTGGATTATGTTTATTGGTTAATTTGGATAATGCTAATTAGTTGCTGATGTATAGTTAATTACTTAGGGCGTATTCGGTAGAGATTAAAATAGAATTAAAATTGAAAAACTAGTCGTTATTGACTTTTATTAGACGAGTGAGACCTAATAACGGCTATATTTTTAATTTTAGTTGGATTTTAAGCCTAGCCAAACATGCTCTTAATATCCAGTTAATACTGGTTGGTGATATTTGAATATCCATTTTAGTGTAATTTTTATTTGAATCTTCTGTTGGTATCATGAATCTCCTGATATTTGAATTTCTTAGTGTAACTTGAATATTTGGATTAATGCTTTCTGGATGATATGATGAAGTTGCTCGATTTTGAAATGTATTCATTGGCATATTTAAATTGGCTGGGTGAGGAATTGAGATAGACTGTAATGAACTTTCTTGGATAAATGAAGTTTAATGTTTATTTAATTGCCTTTCCATAAATATATGTGAAGCAAAATTGTTTTTTCATTATTGTTTGTGCTTTGAAGTTCCGATTGAGCTTGATGATTAGGCTTTCACGTTTCATAAAAAATCTTGACATTCTTGGTTAGCTTTTCTTCATTCTTTATTTTAAAAAGTTGAAGACATCCTCTGAGTTTGTTTGTTCTTTGGACCAGAAGAAATATTTCCATAGTTCATTACTCATTTTCAGTAACTTCTGTTTTTAACATGTTTGAATCAGATTTAAGGGTTGTTCATAATAGGACAGGATCTGAACTGAGTGGTCCGGATTCCCTTTTTTATATGGAATCATTGGTTCCATTTGCAAAATTTGTAATGGGAATCAGAGAGCTGGACCATACCGAATCATGCTCCCTTTAATCTCAACGTGGCATTGGTTTACTTCACATGTATTAAAAATGGTGCTGTTTTATATTTGAATGAGATTGCAATCATTTTCTTCAACTAATTCATCTAATTGTTTCTTCCCCCTGGAAATTGATCTTTGTAGTTGTGCATCTTGGGCTCCCATGTTTATTTCTTCATTCACTAGCTCCAGACGACCATTACAATCAGAAACTGATTGACTATAACCCCTCTGCTTCAGAATACATAAATTTAGACATTACTGTTTCCAGTATTGGCCAAATAAATTGCCGTAGAAGTTCAACGGAGGGAAATCTGAAATGGTGTCAGTCAGAAATGGTAGTGAATCTGAGAGAAGTCGGAAGGTGTTGCTTGGAATAGGGTTCTGGGTGCAGGGGTTAAGGTGCTTTCCATGGATGGGCATCAACTTTTTCCTCAAGGATGGGATGAGAGTGGACCCCTGTACGCTCCAGATCCTGCAGAACTCATCCAATCTGCCCATGGTTGCTAAGCCTTTTTACGGCATCCTCTCTGATTCCTTCTACATCTTTGGCCAACACCGTGTCCCTTACATTGCCCTAGGAGGTACTCTCCTCTTCTGATCTATTTATTTCTTAGTCGATTGAGTAGGCATTTTAATTTGAATAAGCCCCTGTTTGGTAACCATTCTTTTAAAACTATTTTTTTCTCATACTCATTTTCAACTACATATTTTCACAATAAAATATTCTTTATGCAAATCCAAAACTTTTCCCTACTTTTTACCACACATTCTCCAGAAAAGCTCGTTCTTTACAGAAAAATGGCCGTCTAACAGGGGCTAAATATGCTTAGTTTATTTTCACTTCCTTACCCTTGAATGCCCAAATTTTAGGCTGTTTAGAATCTTTAATAACCTATAGTCGAGGACTTTCTTTTCAGTTCAGAAGTATATAGCACTTCCTGTGTTTATACATGGCTATGCGTATTATCACAAGAACCCTGAAGCACTTTATATAGTCCCCCATAATATTTGTGGCATGAAGAAAGTTTAATTCCATCTTTGAGTTTTATTGTTATCCATTTTTTCCCGTAATGGCAGTCTCTACACTTACACTTCTAGGAAATGAAGTAAACCTTACAAGAGTGCCATTCTATTGCAGGTGGTAACAATCAAATAATAAGATATTATAGTATCACTGGCTTAATTTGATTGCGATTGCGAACCGTTCAAATTTGTTTTATTGCCAATCAAAATCCAAATTGTCAAGCATGGAGTATCATATGTGGCTCCGTGTTAGGCAAATCGCCTTTAAATTCTACTTAGGATAATAATATCGGCCTGATATGATAGATTATCTTTAACATCTGAAAAGAAATAGTGATTCCCAACCCTTCATTGATTTGCTAAATTCTTTGCATATGGATCTTTGTTTTGTTGATCAACAATTCTGTTTCTTGCTGCAGCATTTTTACAAACATTGTCATGGATAACTATAGCGCTTTTTGCCAAATCAGGCATCTCGTTTGTGTCAATCACTATTTACCTGCTGCTTGGGAATCTGGGTGCTTCAATAGTCGAAGTTGCCAATGATGCCATTGTTGCCGAGAGTGGAAAACAACCTGCCTCATCCAAGAACTTGAAACCATCTTCCTCAGGTGAGCTTCAGTCATTTGTTTGGATGGCCTCGTCTGTTGGTGGAGTTCTGGGAAATCTAATTGGTGGAATTGCCATTGATAAAATCTCGACTCAAGCAATCTTCCTCATGTATGGTGTTCTTCTTTCTTTACAGTTCTTAATAACACTATTTATTCGCGAAAGTTCTTTAGACCTGCCCAAAAGTCCGTCCCAAGTAGGTTTTAGAAAGCAATCATCTGAGCTCTTGGTCGCTTTACGGAAGCCAGAGATCTGTTTTTCTATAATCTGGTTTGCTATGTCCTATGCCATAATCCCTGCCCTTACTGGGACCATGTTTTACTACCAAACCCAACATTTGAAGATTGAGTCCTCACTTCTGGGGATATCGAAGGTGTTTGGGCAAGCGGCTATGCTGCTCTGGGGTGTTGTATATAATCGCCACCTCAAGTCGATTCCACCAAGAAAACTAATTGCAGTCGTTCAGATCTCTATGGCTATTTTCATGATATCAGATGTTTTGTTTGTGAATGGTGTGTACCGGAGTATAGGCATTCCCGACACACTATATGTTGTGGTTTTCTCGGGATTGCTAGAAGTTTTATACTTCTTCAAGATTCTACCTTTCAATGTTTTGATGGCGCAGCTTTGCCCACCTGGGTGTGAAGGCTCAGTCATGGCATTTGTAATGTCTGCTATTGCTCTTGCTTTTATAGTGAGTGGTTACTTAGGGGTGGCTCTTGCATCGTGCGTTGGAGTGACTGGAGATGACTTCTCTGGCTTGCCACGCGGCCTTTTGATACAGGCTGTGTGCACACTTTTGCCCCTTTTCTGGTCATCATGCATCCCAGATGTAAAATCTGAAGGCAAGATGAAAGAAAACTAAGTGGTGGAGCAATCTGCATAGATTGCTGTTTAATGAGAGTAACATATAGCATGGTGCAGCATTTAGTATTTACCGATTCTTATTTGTTAAATTCTTTTCGTATCTTACTCTTTTAACGATAGAATGATGCACTATTGCACTCTACATGTTCATGTACTAGGCAATCGACAAATCTCACAGGACAAGTGAGCCCGCCAGATTCAGATATTTTGTCCATGCACTGTTTTTTTTCTTTGTATCACGTTTAATACTGCTTAATCAGAATCGTGCTACTTGGCGAGGGCCACGTGGGCCCTGACCATCCGGGGGGCGTGGCCCTGGCCCTGGCCAAGTACCTTTACCAGCTTAATACATAGCTGTAGCTTTACCTGTTGGATTACATACGTCTGAAAGAAACGTTTGTAATGGTTATTTGGACCGTTATTGCAAACGTTTGTAAATGAATGAAGTTGGTCGTATTGAGACCGGTCAATAGAGTTTCCTCTTTATTTCTCTTTCCACTACTAAAGTGCATTTTATTGAGACCGGTCAACGTTTAGTGTCACATGATGAATCACTCTTCCTTATAGATGCTCTTTATGGTTATAAGTTAAAACATGGTTCAATTTTCACAAGTTAGAGCAAATCTCAACCATCTAAGATGGGTGTCACATGCGTATTTAACATTTATAATTAATGACACAAGTAGAATATGTTTATTCGAAATATGTGATTAAGATGCTCATTTTATTTATTTGCTTATACAATTGATGATAATCGTACGAAATGTGATTGTTATATAAAGATATATGGAGTATATGCTTTATGTGGAATTATTATATCTTTATGTTTGACTTTGACAATAATTAATGATTATTTACGAGACTTCTACAAGAAATAATTGTCGAAACTTCATTTCACTTTTAAAACTATGGATGCCTTGGTCGTATACCCCAATATTCAAGTATTGAAGACATTGTATCGAGAGCATTCTTTGATTCCAAGTCGGGTGATAGTTTGATAGATTGAGCCCATGTTTGGTAAAAATTAAAATTCAGATTTTAGTTTAAGTCAAAGTTAACAACTAATTTTAATCACATATTTTATGGGACCCGCAACTTTTCAACAACAAATATCGTCAATTTTATCAAAATTTACTAAAAATCTGATTTTAATCCCCACAAAACAGGGGCTGAATGTATATTGGAAAGTCTTGGTGAGGATCAACCAGAATTGTGATCATTCTTTAACTAGTCACAGCTAAACGTGCGTTGCACGTTATTTTGAAATGTTTTATAAACGCTGTAAAAATAATATTTGAAAATCAGTGAATATAAAAAATAGTTAAAAAATCATCATGTGAAATGAACTTTTTATACAATTCAATTATTTATTTACGTTTATGATAATAATTAACATTAATTTTTATATATCCTACTATAATTCAATCAATTAATTTTTCAAGTTCATGTATGTACACTTTATATATTTTGGGGGATGTTCAATTGATATAGAAATACTATAATTCAATTATTTATGTATGTGCATGTATACTAATTAACATTTATTTATGGATATATTAAATATAACATTAA